AGGGGGTTGGGACTAGATGATCTATAAGGTCCATTCCAACCCCTTAACATTCCATGAAAATAGCCAACAGGATTTTTTCTCCTCTCAGTGAGAAGAAGGACATGCCCCACCATGTCTGAGAGCAGCAAGAGCAGCTCCTTGGCCTTTGGCCAGGTGGTCATTGGGCCACCAGGCTCTGGGAAGACAACCTACTGCCATGCCATGCGGGAATTCCTGGGCCACCTGGGCCGTCGGGTGTCTGTGGTGAACCTGGACCCTGCCAACGAGGCCCTGCCCTGCCCCTGTGCCCTGGACATCGCTGAGCTCATCACCCTGCCTGATGTCATGGACAGCCTGGGCCTGGGCCCCAACGGGGGCTTGATCTACTGCATGGAGTACCTGGAGGCCAATTCCGACTGGCTGCAGGAGAAGCTGGAAGGACTCAAGGGACACTACATCCTCTTTGACTGCCCAGGGCAGGTGGAGCTCTACACACACCATGATGCACTGAAGAATGTCTTTGCACAGTTGGCCAAGTGGAATTTCAGGGTAGGTTTGGGGATCAGCACCTGAAACCATGTGTGCTTGGCAAAGGGCTCTGAGACTCTGCACCCCATGGGCAGAGAGTGATTGTGGGTACTGATGGCTGGTTTTGACCATTCCTTTATCAAGGAAGGAGGGGAGTTTTTCCCTATTTTATGCTTGGAGAGGTTGGCCAAAGAATGGCTTGTCAGGGCTTTTAATGCAGTGGGATTGGGAACAGAAATAGGGATTCCTTCCTCACACTCATCACAGAACCCCAGGCTGGTTTGGGTTGGAAGGACCTTAAAGCTCATCTCCCTCCAGGGAGCTGGATCAGCACCTGAAACCATGTGTGCTTGGCAAAGGACTCTGAGGCTCTGCATCCCACGGGCAGAGACTGTGGGTACTGATGGCTGGTTTTGGCCTTTTCTGTGATGAGGCTTTATCAGGGAATTTTGTCCTATTTTATGCTTGGAGGGATTGGCCAAAGAGTGGCTTGTGAGGCTTTTAATGCAGGGGGATTGGGAACAGAAACAGGGTTTCCTTCCTCACACTTCTCACAGAACACCAGGCTAGTTTGGGTTGGAAGGACCTTAAAGTTCATCTCTCTCCAGAGATGCCTCCTTAGAGCTCAGCTCCCTCCAGATTTCCACCCTCCCCACAGGAATGCTCAGGCCATCACACACTCAGGAGCAGTAACTGTAGCACACCACGTTCTGCTGGCAGAGCCAATTGCCATGTGGTTTGCAATAATAATTAATAATTATATTAATGAGCACTTTGATTCCCTGTGTTTTGTGCTGCTGTAACGATGTGGTCCCAGATCTCTGGAGCTTCCTTCAAGTCAGGCCTCTGAGCCTGAGTCACAGCTACATTTCTGCAGCAAAACCAGCCAGTTTGGAGCTCCCAGGCAGGTGTGAGCACCTGGGAGAGCATCAAAACAGCAGCACAAATGTCTTTTTTTAGCAGCTACAATTTCATGTCCATTTATTTGAATGAAAATAACCTCTAATGTGCAGATTCCCAGTGACATTCTCAAGCAAATGAACTTGCCCTTCTTGCTCACACTGCACAGGGTTTGCACATTCATGGTTTGGCCCAAATGCAAACCAAACGCAGCGTCAGCAGGTTCCCTTGGTTGTGGGACTCTTCTCACCTGCACAGCCTCATCTGCATCTTCCATTGTGCAAGGAAGCTCAGAACACGTCCTACAGGGAGCAGAGCTGCTTGGCTGGGCTGCAGGTCGGGCAGGTGGGGCCTGAGATGTCACCTGGATGTCACACAGGGCAGTGCAAAGGGCCCCAGGTGGGCACACATGGATCTCCCCACTCCAAAACACAGTGCCCACCTGGAGAAAACACACACAAGGGCTGTGTGGAGGTCCCTGGAGCACAGCAAGTGCTTGTCCCATCCCTGGAAGTGTTCCAGGTCAGGTTGGATGGGGCTTAGAGCAACCTGGGCTGGTGGAAGGTGCCCCTGCCCATGGCTGGGTGTGGAATGTGATGAGCTTTAAGGTCCTTCCAACCCAAACCATCCCAGGATTCTCTGATTCCATGTTTTATTTGCAGGATGTAGAAGGTAGGTGGTAACTTTCCCAACGTGGTTACAGTCAGGTCTGATCAGATGATCCCATTGCCACTTCCAGACTGTCCCAAAAGCAAGTGGATGGTCTTGTCATGGGTCTGACTTTGTCTGTTCCTCTGTCCCTCTGTGCCCAGCTGGCTGCAGTGCACTTGGTGGATTCTCACTACTGCACAGATCCTGGGAAGTTCATCTCTGTGCTCTGCACCTCTCTCTCCACCATGCTGCACGTGGAGCTGCCCCACGTCAACATCCTCTCCAAGATGGACCTGATCGAGCAGTATGGAAAGTTGGGTAAGAGGATTCCGTGGGATCACAGACTGCTTGGGGTTTGGAAGGACCTTAAAGCTCATTCAGTTCCACCCCCTGCCATGGCCTGGGACACCTTTCCACTAGGCCAGGTTGCTCAGAGCTCCATTCAACCTGACCTTGAACACTTCCAGGAATTTGAGGGTGAGGGATGTGGAATTGGGTTGTGTCAGGTGCAAATTATCTGCTTGGGAACGGGGATGGTTGTGAAACTGGGATAAATCTCAGTGATGGTTGGGAAACTGGGGTAAATCTCACTGTGCTCTTCAATTTACAAAGTGCCTTCAGAGATCTATGTTTCCCTGCAGCTTTCAACCTGGATTATTACACCGAGGTCCTGGACCTCTCTTACTTGGTTGACCATTTGGCATCCGATCCCTTCTTCAGGAATTACCGACGCCTCAACGAGAAGCTGGTGGAGGTGATTGAGGACTACAGCCTGGTGTCCTTCGTCCCACTCAACGTCCAGGTGATGCAGCAGGAGGGAACAGGGAGCCTTGGTTATGTATTTGGATATGTAGCAGCTGTTTTGTGTCTGCTTAGAGGGCTGAAAGCTCAGCTGTGAAGAGACTCAGGGATGGAAAACAGGGAAACACACCCAGACTTGTAAATGATCCACAGCAGCCAAAGGAAAAGAAAAGGCTAATGAGCTTGGGGCTATGTGGGCCTTGTGTCCTGGGGTGGGGAATTCAGGCTCCCCCTTCATTCAGCTCTTCTGCACCTGCACTTCAGATCTGGGCAAAGGATGACCTAAAACGCTGTTAAATTAGGGAGCACTGAGTAATTAGAAGATTGGGAGGAATACCTTGGGGAGGAAGGGCTGGAAATGTGGTTGTTAATCAGGTAGCTGGCAGAAGTGTCAACAGAGGCAAATGGGCTGGGAGGAGGTGATGAAAGGAGTGAGGGTGGAGGGTGTCAGCCTGGCCTGTACCAGGGTGTCCCTGTTTGTCCCGATTTGTCCCATGTCCCTGGGGCTCTGGGAGGTCGACAGTGTCCCCAGGCCCTTGGGCACTGTGTGGGTGGCCCAGAGCCTCAGAGAAAATCCGTGGATGAGCCCAGCATGAGCTCATGGCTCTGGGAAAGCAGCAGATCCCCAGTGTGCCCCTGCTCCCTCTCAGGACAAGGAGAGCATGCGGCAGGTGATGCAGGCAGTGGACAAAGCCAACGGCTATTCCTTTGGAGACCAGGAGCACAGGAGCCTGGAAGCTCTGATGTCAGCAGCAGTGGGAGCTGATTTCCACTTTTCTTCGTATCCTTTGTGGTGCTGAGTTTGATTTCTCCCCTGGGGAGAGAGGCTGGAGGTGGGAATGGCCCTTTGCAGGCCCAGGTTGGTGGCACACGTGTGATGAGTGTGTCAGGCTCAGCTCATAACAGACACTTGTCCACACCAAACCCACCACAGTTGTTGCTAATTTCTACTGTGAATATGGAAGGAATTTTTTGACAACTTTCCTCCTTCTCACACTCCCTTGGATGAGTTCATTCCCTCTTTTCCAAACCATACAATTGATTCTCCTGTACTTGTCGGGTCTGGGATCAGGCAGAGCCAGAAATAACTCAGGTGATGCCTGCTGCTGCCAGCACTGGGTCTTCCTGCCAGCCTTGGGGCTGATATGTGGCTGGTTCCTCGCTGAGAACGTTCAGAGCTCCTTGCAGAAGGGAGTGTTTGAGCCCAGCCCCTTGTTTTCCTTAATTACTGCGTTATCAGCACACTTGCAGTGCAGGAGAAGTATGTGCAATCTCAGGACAAAGCCGTGGAAGAAGAGGTGATGGATCTGTGACACACCCTGCCACGGCTCCTCTCTGTTTTGACACCTCTCCTTTTCCTACCAGAAGCTTAAGCTGTGACTCAGAGCAGGTGAAAGCCTTTCAAGGCAGAGTCTGGCTGCTGGACATCCCTCTCTGGGTGGGTTTGACCTCCCAAGCTTCAGCCCCACTGCACAGAGCAGTGATTTGGCAGGAAGGAGATGGCTGAGGGCAGGACGAGATGGGTCTTAGGAACAGAGATTGAGCCAGGGGAGGGCAGGAAAAGAAGGGAAATAAAACCTCCTCTTCCCCATCATGACCAAGACAGATCCAAAGAGAAAAAAAATGAGTTGGTGCTGCCTCATCTGCAGCAAGACTTGAGACACAAGTTCTGGGTTGGCTGCAGGAGGAACGTGCACAGGCCTCATGCTCCGAGGAGTATCCAGGCTGAGACGCCTCCACTCCGTCTCAAGGAGGACAGAAAGATGTTTGTTTTTCTTTTCCTTTTTTTTAAAAAAGAAATAATGATGGACTCTTTCTTAATAAAACATTCCTTCATCTCCCTTTCATCTTGTGAGTTTGCTGAACCTGAATAAAGAAACTCAAGAGTGCTCCAAAGCCTGAGGCTAAAGAGCCTCCGGTGGGAACGTCGCGGCGGCAAGCGCGGTGTGTGTGCTGCAGCTCCGTGTTGGCCGTGGCCTGTTCCTCTCTGATCTGCCTGAGAACAAGCACAACATTTGCTAGAGGGAGTGAGGACTGTGGGACAGGAAAGCAGGTCACTCCTGGTGATCCAGGAGTGATCCAGAGGCTGGAGGTTGGGACACAGGGAGACGCACAAACTGCCAGCTCGGCTTTTGGAGGCTTTTGATTAAGAAAGCCCCTGTGTGACTCAGCTCATGGTTTGCATGTAGGGCCTTTCCCAGCAGCTGCCTTGATGTCTTCATCCACCTTTCTCTGGGCTTGCTTTCTCCACATCCCAAATCCTGGGGCTTCCCTTCCTTCCCATGCAATTCCCTCTCAGTTCCCAGTGGTGATAGCAGCAGCTCCCAAGCTCACGTGCTGCGTGCTCTGATCCCTGATGGGGATGGGAGGGATGGGGGGGTGACAAGTGAGGTGGCCACACTGAGCAGCCTCCAAGTGCCTCCTGGCAGCTCCACGAGGGATGGGAATGGGTGAGACTCCCAATCCCAGCTCTCTGCAGACTCAGCATCGTCTCTTGCCCAAGATCTTGCATAAAATACGTTCAGACTTTCTCACAGGATAATTTAGCCCATGGCAGAAGGATTGCAGCTGATCCTCACTGGGTCTAAATGTGATAGGAGTCTTGGGCAGCTAGGCAGGGAATTAAAGTTAATTTTTCCTGCATCTCCCAGTTTTTTGGTAAGGATTTTGGAGACAAGGAGGAGGACAAAGACAAACTTCCATGTACACACACACACACACACACACAGAGGCTTGTGCTTCAACCAGATCTGTTCCCAAAGAAACTCCACTAAGATTTCACATATCAAAGTAAATCCCTGTCTGCTGCCAGTGCCTCAGCTCTATTCCCAAGAGCCCATGGACTTCCCTGGGTATTCCTGGCTGGAACTCAGCAGCTGCCTGACAATGCTGAAGGTCTGGAAGCCAATTTAACCATAACTGAGCTGAAATTCCATCCTCACCCTGTGGCTTGTGGCCTTGCCCGGGTCATTTTGGAGGTCTGAAGTTGCTGTGAGGGGATGGGAGATGTGATCATAAAAATATTAATTTCATAGTGGCTTTTTCATGGCTTTGAGAGATTTGGTGGCTTAAAAGGGTATGGTCAGGTCATGCTGAGTTATGCAAGAGCCATCAAAGCTTTCGTAGCTTTTTGGCTTTTTCTATTTGAATACCCTGGATATCTGCAGCCTCAGCCTTGCTGTGCTGTGCTGGAGAAATTAAGAATCAAAGGGGATAGAAACTGCTCAGTTCAGGGATCCTCTGCCGTGGCTGAGCCATGAATTCCTGAGGTCTAGAAGCCTCAAAAATGCATCATTTTCACACCAAGGAGATTTTTACAGCTGAATTGGGACCTGCAGCCCAGCAGGGATGATCCTTGCTGTTCCTGGTCAGGGTGACATGGAAAATGGCTCAGCAGGAGACAGGGAAGGCTGGAGACCCCAGTGTGAAATCTCTCCAGCTCCTGCACCCACATGTCCCCATGCTGGGAGGGGATGGCTATGGAGGCTCCTGGGGCTGAGGGAGGTGACACTTTGGCTGCTGTCACTCCCATTGAGCAATCAGCTGAGGCAAAGGGCCAGAATTAGTCACCCCAACTGAGGCACATCCCTGGTGGGGCCTGGTTTTCTGCCCAGCTGATTCTACCTGCCCCAGCCCCTCCAAGCCTGGTGCCAGGAGAGGCTGAGCCCACCCTGACCATGGTGAGACCTCCTGAGTGAGACTGAGCAAGGCAGGGCAGAGGCTGAGCCCACCCTGACTGTGGTGGGACCTCCTGGGCGAGACTGAGCACAGCAGGGTGTGATTTTTGGGGATGGAGGGTTTGGACTTCAATCACAGCTACCAAACTGGTGTTCGTTGTGTCCCACTTCCAGCTTCTGGCCCCCATTCCAACTCCATCCCAGCTCCTCTCAAAGGCTGAGCTTTGCCACCAAGTGATGCTCTCTGACAGGGTTAAAAAGCCTCTCCAAAAATCCCAAAGCCCCCAGAGCAGGCACCTGGTGCCAGCCTGGCAGGAGACTGCCCATCAATCACTGCCCCGAGGCCAGGGTGATGGCCAGCTTGGGTGCCCAGACACCAGGGAGGTGCTGCTGGTGGCTCAGCCAGGAGCCAGCCAGCCCCAGCCCCAGGCACAAAGCCCTGTGGGGAGGTTGAGAGATGCAGGGACAAGGACAGGCCTGGCTGTGGGTCCTGCAGCCACCCTAGCCACAGTCAGGATGGGCAGAGTGAAAGCTCAGCATCACCTGTTTGCCATCAGAGACCTGTTTCAGTGGCCTTGCTACTAGCCATAGTGCATGGGGCTGTGCTGGGACAGTGGCTCCAGGGTGGGGGACACTCCTTGACCCAGGACATCCATGTCCATTTGCTCTACTGATGTTAAAGACACTAAAACTCATATATTTCAGAGCTTTGCTGGGTGCCCCTTCCTGCGCAGCATCAGGGATGCTGAGAACATCCACCAGACAAGGACAGGGATAAGGGTCCTGGTGTTTCCCTGATCCACTCCATCTGGGTCCCACCACTCCACATGACACCAGGGAACACCCCACAGTCCCCATCAGCACAACCCTCTCCCAGGAGGTGTCCTGGGGATCCAGGGCCTCCCTCCCAGCCCCGAAAAGCTGCCGGACCGGCTGGGAGCCAAGGAGCATCCTCCTCCTACACGGCCCAGCCACGCTGCAATTTCAGGAGCTGTTGAAATCAGTTAACTCCTGGGAAGCTGGCGAGAACCCACGGGCCGTGAGAACCAGCAGGGATGGACAGAAATCCCCAGTTAACCCCCTCCCCAGGCACCAGCACCCTCAGCTCCCACCTCACCACCCTCCAGTTCAACCAGCCTTGGGCTGCTGGTGTCCCCAGGCTGTGGGGTCAAGGGCCAGCGTGAGCCCTCGGCTCGTTTTCCAGGCCAGCTGTCCTGGTTTGGCTAATTACAGGTCTGGGGCTGGTTCCCAGGCTGGGAGTGCTCGGGGCCAGGCGGAGGCCAAGCGTCAGGGCCCCTCGCTGGCCTCCCCCGACACCTCCAGAGGTCTCTCCAGCTCAGCCTGGAACTGTGGAGCAAATGGGAACCTGCTGGGCCAATGACCCTGTGCTTGGCAGGACCAAGGTGACACAGGACTACAAGATGCCATGATGAGGATGGGGAGGGGACTGGGGGGTAGGTAAGGGGCTGGGGGTGCTCACAGGGGTTAATCCCCTCGTCTGGGCTATGCACCAGGTGACGTGTCCCATCCAGGGTGAAGAGGTTCTGGTTTGTGCAGCCCAACCTCCCACAGCAGCCAGAGCTTTCCCACGGCAAACCTCATCACATCCCAGGCTGATCCCTACTCCAGGAGCTGCACCAGGTACCCCACAATCCCTGCACACGAGGAAGAGGGGGGCACTTCCCTGGTTGTGCCTCAGTTTCCCCAAAGCCCAGGAGCTCTGGGCACCCCAGGACGTTGTGCTATGTCAAGGCTCAGGACTGGCATGTCCCCCACGTCTCCAGTCCGGGGCCCAGCTGAACCAGGGCGGCACGTCCTGAGTCACGGCGCGTTTCCTCCTGGCATCCTGGTGTTTCCCATCAAAGGCCGATTCCTGCCCAGCCCTGCTGGATCTGATGAGCTCATAGCCCTGGGTGCCATGACTGTATTTTATTGTAATTATTTTTCATGTTGAAACGCGCTGGCGGTGCGGGGGGAGCGGCACCCACTGCCGTGGCCTCGTGCCAGGGCCAGAATTGCTGAGCTTTCTCCTGCCCCAGCGCGTCTGG